AAAACAGCTATCATAACTCCCTTCGGACTCTATGAATTTTTGCGAATGCCTTTCGTTCTAAGGAATGCTGCTCAAACATTCCAAAGATTCATAGACGACGTTTTCCGAGGTCTCAACTTCGTACATGCGTATGTTGACGACTGTCTAATCGCAAGTCCGGACACAGAAACACATCTCAAGCATCTGGATCTTGTTTTCGAACGACTACAAAAATATGGCATTACTGTAAACGTTCAGAAATGCCAATTCGGAACCGACTCATTAGACTTTCTGGGACACACTATAGATGCTCAGGGTATCCGATTCCTTAGAACCAAAGTGGCGGCTATTCTGGATTACCCAGAACCGACCACCGTCAAGCAATAACGCACGTTTAACGGCCTCGTAAGTTTCTATAGACGTTTCATACCAAAATGCTCATTACTTATGAAACCTCTGACCGACCAACTTCGTGGAAATGCGAAATCCATTAATTTGGACGACACCGCACGAAAAGCATTCTCCACAGTTAAGGAACTGATTGCTAAAGCAACAATGCTCGCACATCAGGACACCGAAGCACCCATTAGTATCGCAGTAGACGCATCGGACTCGGCAATCGGAGGAGTCTTACAACAATGGGTTAACAACTCCTGGCAACCCTTGGCATTTTTCTCTAGACGGTTGCTAGACACCGAATCGAGGTACAGCACATTCGGTAGGGAACTCCTAGCTATGTATTGTGCTGTACGGCATTTCCAACACTATATCGAAGGTCGTGAATTCACTCTTTTCACGGACCATAAACCGCTCACATTCTCGTTAAGCTCTCCTTCTGACAAGTACTCTCCCCGTGAGTCTCGACAACTGGACTACATTTCGCAGTTTACTTCGGATATTCAACACATCTCTGGAGCAAACAATGTAGTTGCAGACGCCTTATCTCGCATAACTTCCTTGAACAGTTTCCAAGGAATCGACCTTCTTAAACTCGCCGAGCTTCAAAAAGAAGACACTGATCTTCAGCACGAGTTATCGTCCACAACACTTAAACTACGCATCAAACAGATGGGAACAGGTAACGAAACCTTACTTTGTGACACATCTACAGGTAGGGATCGCCCAATCGTGCCGAAACATTATCGACGCAATGTCTTCAACACATTGCGCAAACTTTCGCATCCAGGTGTTCGTGCAACCATCAAGCTTATAGCAGAACGGTTTTGCTGGCCTGGCATGAATAAAGACGTGAGGGAGTGAGCACGCTCCTGTGTAAGCTGCCAAAAATCTAAGGTTATCAGACATAATAAATGTCCCTTAGGCTCGTTTAAAACTCCCGATGCTCGTTTCGACCATGTTCATCTGGATTTGGTAGGACCTTTACCAGATTCAAATGGATACTCTTACCTCTTAACCTGCGTAGACCGTTTCACTCGATGGCCAGAAGCAGTACCTATCAAGGACATCACTGCTGAAATAGTGGCCCGCACCTTCGTCGAACGATGGGTAGCAAACTTCGGCTGCCCTTCAACCATCACCACAGACCGCGGACGTCAGTTTGAGTCTGAACTTTTCCGTCGTCTGACCACACTTCGAGGAATCACTCGCTTCCGAACGACCGCCTACCATCCACAAGCAAACGGGTTGGTAGAACGTTTTCACCGACGACTAAAAGCTTCACTATCAGCTGCAAACGTTTCACAGTGGACCGACGCTCTTCCACTTGTTTTACTAGGTATTCGCAATGCAGTGAAAGCTGACATTGGATACACTGCAGCTCAACTCGTTTATGGAATGACACTTCGACTTCCAGGAGAATTCGTGGATCCTTCGTCCTCTTCAATGAACATGGATCTAACCTCCTACACGAACAGGCTTACAAACGCAATGCGTTCAGTTAAGCTTGCTTCCACTCGACTACAATCAACCGATGTTTTCGTTCAACCTGACTTACGATATAGTACACACGTTTTCGTTCGTCGAGACTCGCATCGACGACCATTCGAATCAGCATACGAAAGACCCTTCAAAGTTCTTCAACGTGAATCTAAGTATTATATAGTCGACAAGAACGGAACAAACGATAGCATCAGCATAGATCGCTTAAAAGCAGCGTAGTTAGAAGGAAATCCTATTCACGTCGACTTTCCTTCGGTACAACCGCACAACACGACTCCTACACTCAGTATTCATCAACCGACAACCAACACTAGCGATGATACTCCGAATGTATCTGAAAATAAACGTAAAACGACGCGTTCTGGAAGAAGAGTAAGATTTCCAGAACATTTAAACGACTACTGCACGTAAGGCACTACTCGACGTTTTATATTATCTCGATTTTTCTTTTTACGATATATAATATTTAAAAAAAACAATTTTAATATGCCTATATATTTATATTTTTATTTAAAAAAACAAAACAAAACATAAAAAACATTTTTTTTAACGCTATTACGTGTGCTTGAGTATATTTTCCATTTTTTCGCCGACATTTTGTTTTTATGCACATACGAGTGTATTTCGACATGCACTTACACTTTCTTTTTTCTTTTCCAGGACGGCTGGAAAAGAACGATGCAGTTTACGAGGAGTCGAAATTTTCGTTGTAACTATGTTGTACCTCGGTCCCATATAGTAAGGAAAGACGACCAGACGCTGCTACACTTAGTAAGCTATCAGAAGAGTGTTTGCCAACGACAAACTCGTTGGGTTTAAACTTCTGGCTGGCCACGTCTTAGGGTCGTCACTGCCCCACTAGGAGGGGGAGTGATCTGAAGCGGTAAATAAATCCCCAAAATAAATAGCTCTGTAAGTTTTCGACACTAGGTGCTGACCATGTGTTTTAGTGGACTCATCTAGCTGAAGGCGCTAGGTCAGGCATCCGCACCAGATCACGTGTGGTAACGCCGTGCTCAACATCAACCGCAATCGCTAGCCAGATTAGATCAGAGAATTCCGATGTATTGGTAATCGCCAAATACACTCTTTCGATCTCCTCGACTCTGTCTTTTGATTTCTCTGGGTGGGAACGAATTATATTAGAAGGTGTTACTGGTAGAAGCGTTGTCAAACACTGAATACCTGTGAATTCATCACGTTGAAGCATGTAAATAATAATAAAGCTTGTTAACGAACCATCAAAGCTAATAATTATTATAGTTGACCAGTTTTTATTATCTATTGAACCTGTAAGTTATGAGTACTAATCAGTGTAATATTACGATAATACATGTTAGCATTACCAGAGGACTATTAGAATAATGGGTTTACATAAATAAAAACCGATCGAGAAGGTTAAAGTGGAAATAACGACTAATAGTATTAGGTTGGGTTCCTTTAGTCAGGCTTAACAATGTAGAATTATGGTCGACTTTGATATTAGTACTGTCCTAATATAGGACAAAATCCTAAAGTTGCAGATTTGCCTTGATGTAACTGCCTAATCTGTAAGATCTGACGCGGAAGTCACATTATTATTATCCACACCAACCAGTCATCAGTATATGATGAAGGGTACACTCGGGCCAGAGGTAAAACAATATATTTATTATGAATAAATGGTGCATAATAACATTCGAGGATAACCAAACCTGCAAGGCCGAGCTGTGGCATTCGATCAATTCGAATTAATTCAGTTCATTGTTCCCGCCTTCTCCACCGTTGGGTTTTTCTCTGCGTTAAATGTTGAATATGTATTATCCCAGTTTTCTCCTGTTCAACTTTGGGGATTATGTGGTTAAGGCCCATTGCCACTATAGTGAAACACTTGAATAGGGTAGAAGGTTGGATGCAAAGTAGATCCACTCATCTCTTCGAAACATTTTGTCGGATGCCATCTGAGTCGGGAGGTGATTTTGTTGATTAAGACACCTCAGAATCTCTTTGATTTTAGGAGTTATAGACTCAACGAAGCTTTGATGAACATGACAAAAGGTTTGTCAAAGGTATTTGGATTTGGATTCGTTGTTCAGGAGCTATGTTCTATTAAGGAATTCTGATATACAGTATTCAGTGCAAAGTTAAAATTTTCGGATGGATAATTTATCTTATCTTCTTTGATTTTTTGAGCAAATTAGTTGCTCAATATCCTTTTGAGAAAACGGTATACAAGCATATTTGATCATCCTAAATGCAGAGGGAAGAAAGTAGGTTATTGAATTTCAGACTCAAGATCTCAGCAAAAGCGCATTGAAGATGTAGCAAGTATTTGAAGTTTGACAACGTATCTACACGTAGCATATTTATAGTGGGATTATGCCAACCCAGTCGAATTAAAAGTAAAAAAATGATGTGGTTGGAATGTGCATTTGGAAGGCTATCGATTTATCGGAGAGCATTTAATCTAGACTGGCTAACAGTTGTAAGGGATATGTAGCATGACGTATCCACTCGTGATTTTATATGAACGCGTGACCGAATGTCCATTAAAACTAATGAGGTCAGAGACAATGTTGAAAACTTAAAGACCTATTTGTTTTGGGGATTTATTTATCTGCACATCATTTTCCACCAGTTTGAAAGGACCTTCCATCAAGTCTTTTACAGTTTTCTTTGGCCATGTTTACAAAATAGGAAAGTAGCGTTTCCTCACTCACCCCAAAAAGATATGAATACACGAGACACGAAGTTTGTTCGGGGACTCTAATTCAAACAAAAAGAACAAAGCCTCAAATTACTGAATGTTTACTCATTAGAGTATATACGTCTCAGAGCTGATATTTTAATGACTCATAGCATTTTAAACACCCCTAGGTATCTTATTAAATACTTACTTAAGCTTAGTCCCAACAAAAATCTTGGGGGTAACACCCAGAATGTTCGCACACAACATAGCAGAACAGGCTGTAGGCACGTCTTTCATTGTTTACAGTTGGTTAAGTTCAGGAATTCGTTGTCAGATGAGGTAGTCTAAGCAACTTTACAGGTCTGCTTCACGAGAAAACGTGACATATCCATAAGGACTTAGTACATAATTTCAATCTATTATTGTTTATCTTTTTATCGCCAAATATACATAAGTTTTTACCTTGAAGCATCGGTGACCCATTGCTACTAGATAAGGAGGCTCGTTAAGCGAAAAGGTACTCATTGTTTATTTGATTTCAGGATTGTGCATAATATATTAAAGCGCCTATTCTATTGTATGCGCAACATAATATAACACAATCCAACGCAAGATACTGCGTTCGTGCTTATTGTTTGTTTTCTTTCTATTATTCATTGTTACTCCATGAATTAATACTCACTCACGGTATACGAAACCTTCGCTAACTGCACTATTGCCTACCGGTGATTTGATAAGCTAGTAATTTTACAAAGCCGACTGGATTTTCTACCTACAGAATAAAGCTGTTGAAGTGTTATAAGCTCACTCACTAGTTTGGGTGGGCTTTTATTATTAGTGATTGTCGTCGTTCAACCTCCATTTATGTATGTATTGACAATTGCACTCAATCAGTGGGATTCAACAAGTAATGCAGTACACTAGTAGACTAGTGAAACGGTAGTATAATAACATTTCACTAAGGTTGTGTTGTTCATAGTCTATTCCAGAGAAATTTAAATACCTTCTAGCACTAACGGTTAATTTTCGTGGCTAGCGATGCTAGCAAAAGTTATTATAGATCCCCATAAATAACTTGGGTTAAGTAAACAAAGTCGCTACATCACTGTCCTCCGTTTTCGAAGATACCTCGTTATTGATTCCTGGAGACTAGTATTCAGTTCTACAGATATTGTGGTAATAATTCATATGTAAATGTTTTCTTGGTGAGTCATTTTTATGCAAAAAAAGTCTGTCATTTTGTTTTAGGCCGTTTAATTTTTTCAAAATTTGGCTTAATAGGTGGGATTATTATCCACTGTTCGGCCTGCTTTGTCCAGGTTTTGAGGGTTTCGTCGGTTAATTTGGAGGCTTAGCTGAGGCTGATGTTCAAAGGTTTTTATTTACTTTCGAACTGGTTTTAAATTCGTAAAGGTCACTTAATTTTAGCTGTCACTCCAACAATAATCTTTCACAGTTTCTCTTAAAATAAAATTGCCCATTAGCATCAGGTCACCATAAGACATGCCGTTGGAATAAAAAGAACTTGGCCCATAAATTTTTAAGAAAGAAATTCGTAAATACTTACTAATTATAATAAGTGAGGAAGCGATCCATCTTATAAGTGCCAAGATTTTGTGGTAAAAAAGTTACAACAGTACCCCAAGTGTCTCCAGTTTCGAGACAAATCTGGTAAAGTCCCAGTTCGTTGAGTTGTCGTTGCCACTTCACCCAGTAAGATTGAACGGCGGGAGCATACTTGCGATTACCATTATTCGTTCCATCAGAATGTCACAAGTCGGCCATTCTAGGTTCAAAATGAATACTTGTAAAGTACGTATACGGTAATTATACACAGAAATCATATACTACCACATTTTTTAAGGAAAAAGTAAATTTTATAATTTTATAAAGTGAGTTAGGAGGATATAAAAGTATATGATAATAATGAACACAAGATGACATTCTTCACAAATCCACAACTTTATTGTAGGTTTTGCAATCAGCTGCCTCAAGTTTCCAACCTTTATTTCTGATCGAAGAACTTTCCGAAGCTGGTAGTCGAGACGTCAGTAACAAAAAAGTAATTCAAATCCCAGACAGCTACATCTCTGTTGTCTGTTATCTAGCCAAATTCCTAACATGACATAATTACTTTAACTTTTGCTAAATTCTGAATGGCTGTGGCAAACCGAGAATAAGGCAAAATTCTGGTGCATGACTTAGAATCTTTAAAGACGATGATAAGTCAGGTTAACCGGGATGTTGGCTGTGTATTGGTTAGAAGTTGTCTTACCAAAGTGATTCCAGTTGTTAGTTTCAGTTTTTAAGAAATGATTAAGTATTTATGTAACAACTACAGAAGTAACAGTTTGGATAGCTTAGTCGTTTGCTATTTTTTCCAAAGCCAAGAAACAAAAAGTTTGTGAAGGCCAAACGATCCTAAGGCCTGTGTTGGAATCAAGGACTATATATTTATCCGTTGTTTTGTTTGGAATAAAAGGAATGATTATCGAACTCCTGTACTATCCATGACTTGAAGTGCGGAACAAATATCGTGTATGACAGAACTTTGTGACAAGCCATAATTTATTATGGCATGTGTAGTTCTCTGAAAATTTTTAATCCTGTTCATCTTCAATTGCCTCATGGATATACTGATGGGCCTATGTTCGAATACACCCGGATATTTTGTATTCAACTCAGAACTATCAGTTCAATAATTTCGATCGTTTTCTCCTGTAAATAATAATATTTTATGAAATACTACTATATATTTAGTACCACTTTTTGTAGATGGTACACCTGCCTTACGTTAATGGGATATTAAACCTCATGGGTCGCAGTACAACTGGTCAATCTAGTCCTGTGATTGAAGTTAAACCGTCATTTTGTTGGGATTCAATGTTGGTACGACTAGCTGGATTCTCTGGGGCATTGGCTGTTATTGCGAGCGCTTATGGTGCTCATGGTAAAAAGATTAGATTTACTTACTCCAAAGTTTTAACTTTTAGGCTTCAAAGATGAACAAGATAAACAAAGACAAATTTTCAAAACTGGGGCTTATTATCATTTGGTTCATTCGGTGGCTTTGCTAACCACGCCTTTATTCAGACGTCCTGTTTTGGTAAATCACTGACTTCAATGAATTTGAACTAATCTATTACAGTCTGCTACTCTTTTCGCCACTGGAACTCTACTATTCTCTGGTTCATGCTATTATGTGGCTCTAACTGGAGATGATCGATTTTCTAGAATAGCACCTATTGGTGGCATGACCCTTGTGTTCGCCTGGCTTTCTTTGGTTTTCTAACAATTGCGCCAACTATTTTGAGAACTGTTTATTACTAATCGTTCATTTTTCTACAAATTAATCGGTATACCATAAACATGTCATTTTATTTTTATTCTCAGCATACTAGTTAATAAATAGTTTATAATTGGAGTACTTTTGTCTACCGTTCTCTTTCGAATATTACACAGTCTAATGAAGAAATGCGGGAATCTGTTTTTATGTGAAAATTTAGGTTACCTTAGTGGGTATCAAAACATGTAATGCTTCTAGTTGAAGATCATGTGAATATCTTCCACACTTCTTTTATTCTATAACTTTAATCTTGTATTAGATCCTAATAGGGTGCTCTTAGGGCTTCGATTCAAGAATGTAGCTTTAATCATTCGCTTGCAACGTAGAACCCAATACATGCCCTGGCTCAAGTTGCCATACCAAATTAGCACAGCTAGATTAAATTATCAAGACAAACACTAAAGTGGCAGAAGTAACAGTAGTGGTAGTAGAGAAACTGTATACGAGTATTTCGACACTCAGGTTCTAAATTAATGCAAAGAGTGAACATAATTGTGTCACTGCGAGCAGCTTTAAGATGTCACTTAGAATCTTGAACCTTTGGTTACGATAATCATGCGGACGCCAATCAGGTAGTCTACACCGGTGTACATGGCTCAGTCCAGTTGCCAGTTTCCTTAAAGACTGGTGCCACATCTTAGTTTGGCTTTCCCTAGCTTTCTCCCGAATAACTCTTACACCAGGCAATATTCGTCGAGGTAAGTGGTGGTTGGACATACGCAATTCAACATTATTTAGTATGTTATGCCTAACTTCGACATCGCTCACAAAAAATACACAAGCAATTGTTCGAAGACACATGATGGGATACTAGTAACCTATAAATATCCTCTTTCCTTAATGGCTACACCTATGAAGTAAAATGGAGCAAAATTCACTAAACAGGATTGTCTCACCTGTATGTTTCAAGTCAAAAAGTAGATTTCCTGATAAGCAGCCAGTCCCTGAAACGTTAGACGATGAGACCGTTATCTTCAAAAGAATATCTATGACAAAGTTAAATATGGATGCAGGAGGTAAACGGCTTTGAAGAAAACTTGATGTTGATTACTTAGGCTTGATAACGTGTTCAGACCGTAACGATAACTCACTTGGTGTCACCATCTTGAGATGCCAGCCGTAGTGACTTGGCGTTGTATCACGAATGTTACCCTAGTAGATATCACATTTTGCAATAATTATTGATATTGGGTGGGAAAATTCTAGTTGGTCAGTTTTCTTTTCCTTGGTCTTCATAAAAATAGTTTTTTAACTGGAAGAAATCTTTGGTATATTGTTAGCTGAACTGCGCCGTCTACTATATACTACTATTGGTCACTTATTTACTTCTTTCCCTTTGAATATATTCCTTTTCCCTCTTCATACTGTTGTCTCTATATTTCGAACAGCGCGTTCTATTTTCTTGGCTGTCCCCCCTGTACTAGGTTTTATGTGCTTTGAGTAAGTCAAAGCTGTTGGTTGAGACTACATCAAGTACCGATTTCAAATATTGCATGCGTGACTTAGTTTCAAATAAGAAATATCAAGTTCGCGCTAAAAAGTTATAAGCCTCAACATTATTTCGCTCACAAATTTACCTGTTCTTCCGTTTGACTCAATAGCTCTAGCATGCGAAAGCAATTTATGCGATTCTCTTGATAAAGGCTTTAAAACATGTAAGAAAATCAATTTTACAAGACTGGCAAAGGTCCATACATGTACTCAATTTTGGTAATGAGCAGTTAAAGCAGTCGAGAAGATCGTGTGTCTGGGTAGCTGCGTAATAGCTGGTAGTGGCCCGAGTGATGAGATCAGTTCACGTATAGTGAAGTCCACAGCGCCTTACACCAATCTGGGCCATCTTTGGCGCCTTCGTGATGTTAGTCTGGTTGCAAAAAGTCAGATCTACAACGCGTTGGGGAGAGCAGTCCTGTCCTTGTGAGACCTGACCTCTCTGAGTTGGGGATGTTAGAGGACTCTTTGTGTCTGATCATCGTTGTCCCCGAAGGATTGCTGACATCTAGTGGCAACACCATGTTAGTAATGCAGAGGTTCGGCGTCTCGTATTTGGGAACAAAGATGGCAATTCAACCGGTGTCACCATCTTGAAACATCGACTTTGGCGGCTTGAACATGCACTACGAGTTTCGTCCCAGAGTATTGCACTTCGTCGATTATTCGCCGACGCTGGGGCTGGGTTGGAAAGGCAGGGAGGCGGCCAGTGTCTGGCATGGTGTCGTGGTATGAAAGAAAACTGTACAGGACTGGCTTCTGTTGGTCCTGCACGACTCATTGGTTGGGGTCCTAGAGATGGTGCGACAGAGTGACTAGAAACGTTATCGGATATTGCTCAGAGTGGAAGCCAGTAGCAATTATTCTATAACTTCATAAAGATGAATGGACCTTCCTTAACTGAAGGGACTCATTCTGGTTGTATTTTGGTAATTGAACTGTTTCACCTATTATTATTGCTATTACTATTATGATTATTATTTCACTCTCATTCACTAATTTCTGTTCGTTGTTCTTTTTATTATACACACTTTATATTTTCTCTCTTTTTACAATCTCACTGTTATTGTGTGGCGCATATGTATTAAGACGCCTTCTTATGCCAATATTTATTTGTTCAACTAAATAAATAAAAAGGTAGGCAGGCATTTAAAAAAGTTAAAATTGCTGAACGCTTGGTTTTTAATTTTAATAATTTTCATGCCTCAAATATAATTTTTGTATTGGAGAACTATTTCTTTTGATCCTAAAATACATCATCTAGTGTTCATTCCATATATATATATATATATATATATATATATATATATATATATATATATAAACAATGACAGGTTAAAGATCAACAACAACCAATCAAGATTGAGATCTGCAGGACAAGCTATGAGTCATATGTGGAGAAATTCGAACACTTCACTTTTACCTGTAGTTTCTGCTGGTGATGTCGCTCAGAATAACGATGAAAACTCCACGACCAAACCATCAGGCTCAGAGAACAGAAATCCACCAAAAAGTTAATTGATTCATTTTACAATAATGTAATATGATCTAAGCTTTAATTCAAACGCTGTCTTGAGTAACGTAATATTAAACTGTTTGATTTTTTTAGACAATTTTTCAAATAAAAGAAATTATTATGTTAAGAAATAGAAAAGTAAATTGGAGAAAGGTTAGACATGAATAACTTACACTAGTGTGAATAGAGATTAAATGTTTACTGATTTGAAGAAGTTAACTATTTTTGTGGTTATTTCATAAAAATTTGGAACATTTAATTTTATCTAACTGAAAACGCACTCATTGAATAAGATTTATGCACAACTGAATATCATTATTTGTGAAGAAAAGTGTACGATGAAATCTATTATTAGCTAACATTAATTGATGTGCCATTGCAATAAATTATATGGTGAAACAAAACTATCCACACAAAAATCTGAGATACAAATAAAGATAGTAACCGGAAAGTAATACGATATTAAAGATAACTTATATTTATTACGAAATATGTAATTTGATAGCTCGAAGATAATACTCAGTTACTATTTGAAGTGATAGGTTTAAGTCGTAAGTAAAATTCCAACTCACATGAATGAAGAATTCGATTCATTGAAAACAGAGCAAATACTATCACATCAATATAGGACTATTAATAATTAAAATATTATCTCAATAAAGTCAACATTTGAGTTGATTTATAAGTGAAGATTCTATTTAGTCTTACCAATTTTTTACTTGAGTTAGAGATAAAAACATTGACTTTATGTTGTCTGAAAAGATAACTAAGAACCTTCAGACAACTGAAATATGAGTTCTTTGTAAACTTTATAACACAGTTCAGTGTTTTCGACAAGCATTTCTCTTGAGCTAATTTTATTATAATTTTGATTAAACAATTTCAATCAGGTAAACATATTGAAGAGTATAACATTCATTAAAAAAAATTGTCTATTTTAATGAACAATTTATTGAAGAAATGTATTTCAAATAACTTTAAGTTGACTTTTCTTTGTCAAATATAAGCATTGGTTCCTTTTACATGACAAACACTAATATAGTTGATAGATATTAAAATTTACATTCATATGATAATTAGAAGTATTCGAATTATTGTATTAACTAGAAATTCTTGAAGCAGCGCGATTTAAGCCAAATAAAACTAGGTGAGCACAAACGAAAGTATTGTATTTAAAATTCGGAATCAATCAGGAATCAAGTACACAACAATCATTAGTTCATACAAAAACATTTCAGCGGATACTAATCCATTTAACTTAGTGCACTCTAATGGCTAAGGAAATAATACTATGGATCCAGCCAGTATAATATAGCAAGGTCGTCAACTCATTCTTCATGGGACATATCAAACTGTTAACCGGTTTTTGAATGCTTGTTTATTTCAAGTCAACTTTCAGTGGAAATGTGATGACTCCAATACACAAGGTGAATCAATCATGAAACAAATTCTTCATTTAATTCGGAATAGTATATTATATTCAGGCTAACCCCGACTTCTTAGAAGTGGTAACAAAAGCCAAGGACGAATCGAAAGAGTCTACTCAGGGGATTCATTTATTCAGACAGACAACAAGAGATGCAGCCTGGAGAGAGGCTTCTCATCCTACTCAATCTAACTAAAAATTGACTCGACATTTATAAGCACAGATGGATAAATACGCACAATAAGCACACACACAAACGATAGAATAACTGGGAAAATGACGGTAAATCATCTGTTCCAAACAAAGTGTATATAACGTAGGCTTCTAATAATACTAACTGATACGATCTCTCATTGCTGACTCAAATCGGTTGGATGTCTAATAAGAAACAAGATATACTGGACCACAGTTTCCATTTACTTTCAAGGTACGTCAATAGTGTAAACTCACGCGATTGTACGCAATCATTCCTTGGACCTCAGAGCTTCGCTTACTTATACCTGTTATCCGCCGCGGAGGAGCATAAGTCACTCACAAACATTCTCCATCTGTCCTGGGCAATCATTTCCAGTCGCTATTCATCCCATTTATGTCTGCTTCCGATTTCTGACTCAGTATGTTCCTTGGTCTTCCGCTTCCCTCCACAATCCCAAGTTAGCCCTTGCTTCGTAAAGCAGTTTAATGATTTCCAAAATGTATGTCCTAGACACTTCAAACATCATTTTCTAATTTTTCCCTCAGCTGGAATCTGGTTTATCCTCTCCTACAGTTGGTTTTTGCTGATGATATCCGGTCAACAAACATTCAGTATCTTACGTAGACAGTTGTTTATTAATACTTGTACTCTTTTGATGATAGTTGTGATAATTCTCCAAGTTTCAGCTCCATACAGTAGAACTGTCTTAAAGTTCGTATTGAGGATTGTGACTTTGATGTTAGTTGACAGTTGTTTTGAGTTCCATATATTGTTCAACTGCAGGAATGTGCCCTCACTTGTACGTCTGAATCGGATCCTCCTTGTTCATCGATGTTGCCGACCAGGTAGGTACGTGGACATTTCCACCTCTTCCAGAGCTTCTTCATCAAGTGTGATTAGTTTGGTATTCTCCGTGTTGTGTTTGGCGCATATATATTCAGTGCTTCCTTGTACCAATGTTTATGTGTTCAAATAAATAAATAAACTTGTTGAGTTTCCTAGAATAATCAATGTAATCTTATCTTGTGAGACTTTATTGCGTGGACATTTCCACCTCTTCCAGAGCTTCTTCATCAAGTGTGATTAGTTTGGTATTCTCCGTGTTGTATTTGAGGATCTCACTTTTCCCTTGTGTATTTTGAGGCCTACTAATGCAGAGACTGCTGCTACACTGTTTGTCTTGACCTGTATTTGTTCGTGTGCATGGGATAGGAGAGCCAAGTCATCTGCGAAGTCCGGATCGTCTAGCTGCATCCAGTCTGTCCATTGTATTTCGTGCTTTCCCTCAGATGTTGAGGTCTTCATAATTTAGTCGACCGCCAGAAGAAAGAGGAAGGGGGAGAGTAGGTAGCCTTGTCTGACACCGGTATTCAATCGGAATGTTGACGATTTCCTCAGATACACCACAGTGTAGAAGCAAGTTCTTCTATCCATGCTATCAAGAGCTTTCTCAGTGACGAATCCCATTAAATTGATTGTTCAACGATGGTCCGTAGTATCGCGATTTGGTCTGTGTACGACCGATCGTTAAGGAATCTGGTCATTTTATTTCGAAGTTGGGCGTCTACTGAATCTTTCAACCGGTTCAGCGATACTCTATCGAAAACCTCCCCTAGTACTGAAGGTAGTATGATTCCTCTGTAATTCTCACATTTGCTCAAATGTTCATTTTTTTTGTATCTTGATGAACTAACCTTCTTTCCAGTATTGTTAAGATATGTCCTGTTCAGTTTTCTTACTTTAACGCTTCAATAGGATTTATAGAGACATCCTGCAGAGAATATTTATACAGAATTAAAAGACAATGAAACGATTGTTTCAAACAACACTCAAGAGTGAAAAAAACTTGCTACGAGAAAAGAATTACTGAAACCCATATCTAGGGTCAAAACAACTAGGGAAGATTTTAAAATAATTTATATGACGTAACCGACTCAGCCAATAAACGATTGGCTTTCATTTTCCCAACCAAAGTGATTATTTACTAATTTAAGGTTATCAATTTAAAACGGTTTTTTTTCAGAATAGTTATCGTTGAACAGTAAAAATCAAGTTAAAAATGCACTGTTGTCTTTTTGACATTATCACTCAACCAAAGGAAAAAAATACAATAGTGTAACTGAATGGTTTCATAATTCTAGCTAGATGCATTTATACCATGAACAAATGGAAGTTTTTCAGTATTAAGTTTCTTAGATTTGGCCAACAAAGTATTTTGTTCCTTGTGAATACTTACTAGTCAATAAAATTATCTATTGGAATTGAATTCTATGTGAATAGCTAATATTGGTATGAACTGGTTTTGTAAAATAATCTCTAAAATGTGTCGTTTGGCAAGTTTTTTAACAGGGAAAGTGATGAACCATTATTTCGATAAGTCAATTTTGGAATATGTAACTGAACACTGATATAGTTAATAAATTCTCGTGGTTTCTCAAAAATAAAAACCTTAGTTCAGAGAAATTTAGCGCAAAAAGTTGATTAATTATTTACTTAAAAAATTTGGTCAATCTAGTTTTATGTCTCGGAATACTTTTAAAGTAGTAAGTAGTTAGAAGTCATCAGAAAGTTATCTTCATTGAGTGTTAAATTTAAGAGTATTTCATTTTATCATTTAAATCATATTAATACTACTTACCAGTACCTACAATAAACATTTTATGATAATTTACTTTAAACTCATTCCATAATTATAAAATTAGAGAAAATAAGTAAACATTGATAAAAACTATTAAAAAAAACAACAACTTAGAAAAAGATAGAAATACAGTCAGCATTTATTTTCATCAAAATTAATTGAGCGAGAGAAAAAATAATTAAACACATTTGTTCATCAATAAAGAACACGGAGCAATAAAGGAAGCTTGTTTGATAATAAACAAACAAAATAAATTTTCCTAGAAATATATATATATATATATATATATATATATATATATGTACGTGTGTGTGTGTGTGCTTAAAATAATATAAACTTCCAAGTAAGCAATATTTTTTTCTTATATAAAAAGAAAATATTTCAAGAATTATACCCTAAAATCAAAAGAAGTGAAAATATTTTAACATTTGATATGTTCTTAAGTTAATTTAACATTGAACTGTTGGTAAATGATTTAAACAATTTTTATTTTGCTAACAGAATGAATATGGAATGTATATGATAAATTAGTTTTTTTTATAAAAAATTCAATATAAAATACTATTTATTTATTTGTTAATAGATATGGTGGTAGTATTGAATAAAAGTGATTTTTCTAAAAAAAAAGAAGGTAGATAGATTAACACAACGAGCCATTGAGGAAGGGGGGGAATGAGAATTCCTCTTACACTTGTTCATCTAACGACATGAGCAAAGGATTCACATATTCGAAACCATCGAATTCTGTTTGATCCATACGTGACATCACTGCCCTGTTGTGGAATGAAAAGATTGGAAAATCAACTTTTTTTATTACCGTAAGAAAAATAGGGATTACAATAATGAACGCATTGAAAATTACAACTTTTAAAGATACATCAGGGTTTTCTTAAACGTCAGAACCATGCGGAACATTTGTTTTTTAATAGTAGTGGTAGTAGTAGTTAATGCACATTCAGCATCAGTAACCATTACGAATTATGTAACACAAAGTCTTTATCACTGGTTACTATGATCCCGAAAACATCAACTAGGTATTCTACATTGACACAAGTGACGCAATTTAGAAAAAGTCAACTGGGTTTTTAATCCATGCTAACATTTCGTCAGATATCATGAGAAGCTTAACGATACCACTTGGTATGTACTGAAATTGTTAAGTTATGATAGTCAGTTTAAATGATGTATACACTTAGTTTTTAATACTATTCACTTACATGACTTCTAAGGACTTTAGTAATGATTAATCCAACCGAAAAATATCTCTTTTTTATTTTATAGTTAAATATGCAATTCCAAGTGTTATCTGGGTTTTCTGGTGTAAATTGGTTAGTGATTTCAATAAAATTCCACAATTACCACAACATAACACTGAAAGTCATCATGCACTCACTAATAACTGACTTCGAGGAAATTTTTGGAATTTTAACGAGCTGTCGCCACTGGGACCTAGCTGTATTGGGTGTGAGGAACATTCTTACTGTAGATGGTTGCGCAAAATCGTGGGTTGGTTGAAGTTAAACTTGTAAACCATCGGATTCCTACACATTAGTCCAGGGGTCAAGCGTTCGCGCTAGAGAACGAAGGTTTTGGTTTCGATTCGAAGTTGCAGGTGCTCACTGTTGAGTCCCATATTAAGACGAAGCAACCATCTATTACTTCCAGGTTTTTAATGGTTGTCTTAGATGTGCTGCATTTGGTTTTTACGAAAGCCTCTCTAAAAAAGGGGAGGCATTTGTTGCACAATATTACTTCACATATACACCTTGTCTATTGTTCCGTAATGTTTTCATAGTTAAAGTGAATATAAACGAATGTGTGTAATGAATTATAGAGTGTGCACAAAAGTTCCAGGTATGAACGATCATACACTTTTCAAATCAATGAAATTTGTAAAATAAAACTGTACGGAAAATAGTGATAGTACTAAGAATATGGTTAAAAAACATAGAACACTAATTAAACTGTCTAATATATTGTAACCTAGATGGTATCTGGAGTTAAACGAAATAGAGTTGTAAACCAATGACCTTGCCCTTTAGTTATTTAACATTTACAAATCTCACATTAGTCTAAATAATCGAATTGTCGGTTCAGTTCAACTAACACTCGTCAATGAGTTCAAACTCAAGTTCATTTATAAAGATAGTGACATATGAAGAGAAATTATTTCCTTTTCACAACAGATGTAACTTCGACAGTTAGTGCGCATAAATTTGGATGAAAGTCACTGGAAAACCATTCCTTATGCATTATTATTATTATTATTTCAATTCGAAGCGAATTAATATAGCTACTAAAAAATACATTTAACTTCGAGAGATGAAGTCTAGATTAAAAATATCGATTAAATTCGCAAATACAACATAACTCAACCTGTGACGTTTGCTGTACTATAAGTCAGTTGGATAAAAGTTAGGGACGACCAAAACAAGATGTAATATCCAGTCCATGAAGTTATTGGATGGTGAACTGTTTGATGTAAGTAGGTTTGGATTACCTGATGACATAGCTCAAAATCGGTTTCAATGTTGCATATTTATTCATTTTAAGTCTTAAAATACTCATACATTTTATTCCGTGCATTCATCGTTTCCCAAATTATGATTTCTATAAATAATATGTTCTACTACGGTTGATACTATTTTTACTACCCTGGAATTTATTCTGTTAATTTCACCCTGATATACTGATAGAGTTGTGACAATTTGATCTGATGCACATAAGTTCCTCGTTACTCTTGACTGATTATACTCTTATTTGATGATATATTATTTTAAAATAAAATAGTAATTTAAAGTTTATGAAAATAATTTAAAAAGTAATACAAAACGAAAACAACACTTGAAACTTGGACAGAAAACGAATATATTTCGATTCATGTTATTTTTTCACTTTTAAAAACAAATTTATGCGCTTTTATTAATGTGATAATTCATCTAATTACTAAAATTCCTATCACGTCATATTTACAAATTTAAAAAAAAAACAACTGGAAAATACGTAAACCACTTCAGTAATATCAGTTTTTAATGTTTCTAAGCCGTAAAATTTAACAAAACTTAAGGTGAATAATATTGTAAACGATTAAATCAAAGTGTACCGATGAACAGATTACGTTTGGAGATTTTTTATTTAGAAAATTATATTGATAAAGAAAACTGAAATTTCTTACTGACACGTATTCATGATCGTTAGAAATGACGCAGTTGGATGAAAATTCCAATATTATATATATTGGATATTTCATTAGAATACTTTCGTATAAATACTCCTGAATTTATTTTGACTGACAAAGATCAGTGTATAGAAGAAAAGCTATTCTCATACAACTTTCTATATTACAGTTAAACTCATACACAGGATGTGAGTTCGTCAACCAAAAATATGAACGGGATACATTACGTTAGGATTGATTAAAAATTACGGAAGATATATGTGGATTGAATGATTAGTTACATCTTAATAGTTCCATGTGTACACATATATAAAGAAATTAATATTGAATTTAAATGATAATGATAGTTTTAAATTTTAAACTCACTATTTATTCTCAACAGATAAAATATCATTCCTTTATCAGTAAACGTTTATAGAGATTGCTGAGTTGTAATTTTGATCATGAACCGATCAATGTTACATCGCCATAGAAAACCTGAAGGCATTGAATGGCTGTTTCGTCCTAGTAGGACTCCCCAGGAGTGCGCATCCACGATCCCCAAGCTGGAATCGAACACAGGACTTCGGTCTCTTGCGCGAAGGCTTAACCTCTAGACCACTAGGCCAGCACCCAACGTTGTTAATGTAAAACTTCAAACAATCCACCGTATTGCACGAGCATCTTATATTGACTTTAGTAAGTCGCGACCAGTGGAGTTCAACCTTGTTGGCTGTGAGATAGTTACCTATTGAAGACATTGGAAGATGGATGTGTAATTTTGAGGGTTGGTTGAACTTAGACATTAATCCCGTTGAATGCCAGATTAGTGGTCAACGGGTTAAGCGTTTGCACGCAAAACTGTACGCCCTGAGTTCGATTGCCGAACCACTCGTTGTCTTGGATGTGCACTACTGAGGAGTTCCACACTAGGTCGAAATGAACGTCCAATGCTTCCTGGCTTTCAATAGCGGTGTAAAATTGATCATTCATTTAGTTATAGATTATATTATTTATCATTAATAAGGTTTATTTTATTATTATTGCTATATATTTTAAATCTTTATATATATTAAATCATCATACAAAATGTAATATCATGACTTTTTGACACACGAAAAAATTAGAATAGTAGAGTACTCGCTTGTCTTAACGTCCCATATTATGATAGATGCCAAGTAAGTCATTCTACATTCACATTATTAAATTATTTAGTTAAATAGATTATGGAGATTTACCGATTGATATCAATCGAAGAAACGTTGAAAAAAGGAGTGAAAGGTAGTTATTACGCTTCAGTATCAAACTATTCACAAGTATGTGCCCGCAATCCTGTCAGCGAGCAAATCCAAGACATTTAAGCCTTATAAACATAATGAAAACTTTCAACGACTAAATTAGAATCTAATGGTGCAAGTTTAGTTGAATTCATTATTATCATAGTCCAAATTTTTTTGGTAATATTGATTCAAATAGGAACAGGTCTGATATTGGACTTTTTTGTGATATTATAGTATACTAAAGTTTTTAGCGAAAAAAAATGAAAAATAAGGCAGATGTTTGCAAAAATGTGTAAACATTTATAAAATATTGAACACTTACTCGTTATCTGGTGTTAGCACTACAGGTTCATCGGTGAATGCAGGATCGAAATGTATCAGATCTCTATCGCCTCCACATGTTGGACGATAAGGAGGATGAACTTCTTTCCTTTCTAAAGCTACCCAATCGATTGGTTTGAAAAATCCGTGCTCCATAATATCACCAAAACTTGAATTTGGCGCACATCCAAGGCGTTCAGTTGGCACCTGAGATACACAAATTTAGTTAAAATATTGCATACGATGGAAATTTAGGGGAAAATGACAACTATTTTGTACGACTAACTGATTTAATTAAGTACATTTGATAAGTGCATCTTTAATGATCACACAGTATGCTTTCAATGTACTAGACTATGATTTAGAAAAAGCTTTAAGACAAATGCATGGAGAAATATTGAACGTAGATTTTCTTGAGTATAATGCTTCATCATACGCTGAAAATATAAATTTTACTTAACTTTCGAGAATGCCTCCCTTTAAATCCCAAGTTTCTAGATTCTCCATAAGTTCTTTTATTGTTTCACTAATTTACATTTTTTTCTAAAATAGTATCTCCGATACCTAATGTTTTCTATAACCATTAATACTGTTAGTACCCCTACTAAACTGGAATTTGTTTTGACGATTTTATCTCGCAGTGTTGATGGGGTATGGTAACTAGAACTGGTGTACAAATGTGTCAGGTTGTGGTTGTCTGACCGACTGAACCTTATCGAAAAAGATGCTTCGATAATGTAACGTTTCTTACTAGCAATAATAGTTACCGGACTAAACAAATTTCAAACTGTATATTGTTGCATCGTAAATCTTTAGATATACAATTTGTAACTTCAATCCTACTCAACGACTGAACTCCAAATGACACATGTCGATGGATATAATACTAAAACATTACCTGATTGAAGTCACAATGGAATGGAACCTAAACTAATGAACACTTCGGTTGAGATCGTAGTTTTTAAATTATTTAGGAAAAAGTCAATAATTTTACTGACAGACTGAATTGCACTGTGTAAGGGTGACCAACTGAATGCGGGAATAAAATGTAATCATCTTTAAATACATGGATATTTATTTTAGTATCACTAAACAAATGGATAAAGGCGTGAATTAAAACTAAAACGAAGTACATATGTCTACATTTATGAGTGATGAAATTAATTTCACAAAATATTGTAAAAGAATAAGTGTATGATTGAATTAACAGTATAGTAATTAAGTCAGTAGATATGTCATACAAATTTTGGCAGAGTTAGATGTTTTAATTTAGATTCGCTACCTAGAGTTGAAGTATAATAATCTTGGAAAAACAAAAGATGTGATTTCAACATTTACTGTATGAATATAGAAAGTGATAACTGAGTGAGATTTTTCTATTGGATAAAATTTGGAGATGAATTTTTTGTAATTAGCAATCGACATTTAAATTAACTAACAATATTATGCTAACTGATAAAATAGAAAATTGCAGTCTTCCTATTGATAAACAGTAAATAGTAATAATCATAAGAAATGAATTGACAAACCTTTTGGAGAAATGCATTAAGTATGCTGGTTGCACGAACAGAAATAGAACGTGGAAAACGAATTGGACGACTGAGAATGACTATTTAAACAGAATGATAAATATATATATTCATTTTAATACAGTTAACTGTTAAAAAAAAATTTGACGCAATAAAGTCTCACAAGATAAGATTACATTGATTATTCTAGGAAACTCAACAAGTTTATTTATTTATTTGAACACATAAACATTGGTACAAGGAAGCACTGAATATATATGCGCCAAACACAACACGGAGAATACCAAACTAATCACACTTGATGAAGAAGCTCTGGAAGAGGTGGAAATGTCCACGTACCTACCTGGTCGGCAACATCGATGAACAAGGAGGATCCGATTAAGACGTACAAGTGAGGGCACATTCCTGCAGTTGAACAATATATGGAACTCAAAACAACTGTCAACTAACATCAAAGTCACAATCCTCAATACGAACTTTAAGACAGTTCTACTGTATGGAGCTGAAACTTGGAGAATTATCACAACTATCATCAAAAGAGTACAAGTATTAATAAACAACTGTCTACGCAAGATACTGAATGTTTGTTGACCGGATATCATCAGCAAAAACCAACTGTAGGAGAGGATAAACCAGATTCCAGCTGAGGGAAAAATTAGAAAATGATGTTTGAAGTGTCTAGGACATACATTTTTGAAATCATTAAACTGCTTTACGAAGCAAGGGCTAACTTGGGATTGTGGAGGGAAGCAGAAAAGCGGAAGACCAAGGAACATACTGAGTCAGAAATCGGAAGCAGACATAAATGGGATGAATAGCGACTAGAAAGGATTGTCCAGGATAGAGTAGGATGGTGAGCGGCCTATGCTTCTCCATGAGGGGTAACAAGCGTAAGTAAGGAAGTAAACAAGTCTAATAAACTGTTGAGTCTTGAAGCGCATCGTTATTTCATATTAGAAAAATAGATGAATTCTTTGAAAGTTGTGTGGTTATTTAAATGACATGATATATTTCGCCCACCGGAAAAAACGCATACTGACAGTGATGACAGTTAATGTTAAATCATAGCTTTGTGTAAAAAAAATGCTGACGGAAAGGGGATAGTCATCTCAACACAACGGTGACTGAAAATATTGAGTTCAGAAATGTCAGGTTTTATAAGCAGAGATTAAAAATTCTTATGCCACAGAACCGCTCATTGGACATTTTATTGATAGGTGGTTAACGTCATGAAGATGCTAAAAAGCCCGGATTGGCATACAGGATGTCATTTATTATACCACTAGCAATTACGAAACTACACAGATACAAAAAATCTTTGGTTGTCTTTAATAACTCGCCACTAATTGTGGATAAAAACGGAGCAAAACTAATTTCTTAAAATTCTGTCATACATTGATGGTACAAAACACATGGTATATTTTCATACACTGGGAAATAAGTGGCTCAAAGTAATTTGAGTGGACTGTATGGTGTAGGACAGAGGGGAGGTATAATCCCAAGACTGTAGATTGAGGAGTGTTATGAACGGGGAATTAAGAAGCCAGACAATTACGAAAGCTATTTTCTTGGGACGTTATTGCATTTTATTCAAAACCTGTAAAACACTTATATTTATTTTTGTCCCTATCTTATTCTACATAACACGAGCTTTCGTTCTATGTATCATTCACTAGCATACCCTTTTTTGTTCCAAAAATATTGTAATTTAAACATTATATTTTGCACTATATTTTCTACCCTAATTCCCTGTTTCGGGCACAACTGTATTTTTCCAAATTATCCTACGTCGTGGTCAAGATATGCACTTATTTATTCATGTACATTTTTGTAGTAATCCGAATTCAGAGAATCCAGAGTTTAGTGTTCCAACTGTCTTGTCTTCTTTCACTCGCGGGCCTGCCAACCAATCAGGATTTAGAATAGTTCTCTCTACCCCAATCGAACTCACGCGTATTAGACTCAAGGTTAAGCCACTCAGCCTAGCGCGTCAAGGTCATAATTTAGATTAGACAGACCAAGGCCAAGTCATAACAAGTATCACGGGGTAAAAGCGATTCAAGGTCATAACAAGGAGCATTTATCCTATTAGCAGATTTACACTGCTATTTTTTTTCTATAATAGAGCTGCTTTAAAACACAACCGATAGGGTAATCAAAAAGATATGGGAAGATTAGGCGATCATGACTATCCTCGTTGCTAGTTCACGACAAAGTATACCTATATTCCGTTGTGAACTTGTGAACAAACCTCTGAAGGCGTTGATAAACTACGTAGCCAAAACAATTTTGAGACAGTTAGAATGCACAACCCTATCACCTGAGTCGAAGGCAGAATTACATTCAAGGTAAACCACATAGAAACTGAACAAACACGAACCCATCCTCATTACTGTTTATCATTATTTTTAAACCGTTTATAAAGTATTACGAAGATCAGAGGTAAGAGAACAATACTAATTTAACCATTATTATTAATACTGAAAAACTTTAAACTCATCATACCTCATGAAGAAATCAAAGAGGTTGGTGAATAATAACAAAGAACTTGGGGTTTAATCAGCTAGCTATCCTGCGGTGACCTAGTACTTAAATGTTCCTACAAGCCCTTCTTAACCTCGGTACGTGAGTCAGTATTCACCAACCATAGAGAACAAGAACATTCGGTAAAAATCGTTCAACTGAGTCAACTAAACTGCATTTTGAAGTGGTTCGTTCAGAATTGTAAGCATCCATAAAAACCGCCTGTATCTATGCGACTGAACACAAAAGTTGTCTTACTAAAACTAAGCCACTAGTTCACCTTTATATTGGTCGTTTGAATCGTCCCATTGATGTTGAGGACGGCAATCGATCAGTCTCTTATTGTTATATGTGCATCCTGTGTGGATTGCCTTAATTTATAAGTGTATTCAGGTGACCAGTTCCAAAACGCGCAATCTGGATTCTACTGCTAGCCACCATCCACCCCTGCTTACAAACTCCTGGTTGTCGGACGTGCAACTACTATTTTCGATTCTGAAGACGAAATTCTGGTGTAAGACTCGGCGCCATTCATCGCCTAATTAACTGATTCACATAATTGCATTCACGATACGGCTATACAGAGGAAATTAAACTACAAATCACAAAGATGCCAGAATCCAAATAAAACGCCCACTATGGTTAATAAAACAAAATAGGACTAACTTTGAAATAAATAATCCTCAGTATTTTGATCTGGATTAGCTGACTGTCCAACACCTTCCCAAGGAGATCGACCAGCTAACATCTCAAACATAAGTACGCCTAGGGCCCACCAGTCAACACTGAAACCTAATTTAACAAATACCAAAAAAAAATTTACTACTATCTCAAATTGTAGTAGTAATGATAAACTACGAGATAAATGGATTATATTATTCACAAACCATCATGAATTCATATATTTTGAATAATACTTCTGCCATCTGGGTAATACAATTCAGACATCCCCTAAATCTCTTTATTATTAACTTGGTATATATAATGTACAAGCCAAAGAGAACGCAATAAATTGACAGATAAATTGCCATCAACGTGACCACACTAACTAGAAATTCTTACTCAGTCAGCTACAACGTAGGACCAGGCACATATGTGCATCGGTCCAGGTTGCCATACCGCATCAGCACAACAAGATGAACACCGGATTCATAGCAGTGGTTAGGTCAAAGGTAGTAATATATAAGAGAAAGATTGCATATAGAGATATAGTACAAGAAGAAAGAATTGGTTCGTAGAAAAAAAGATATGAAGCGATTTTAATCTCTTAGTTTAGGGGAAGACAGGGAGTGTATACACCGACGCCATTGTGATCGATTCTGAGCCATGTCACCAAGAGTCTCCAACCATTGGTTACGATAGTCACGCGGGCCCCAACCAAGTAGTCTGCATCTACCAACATGGCTCAGACTAGTGACTTCAAGCACTGATGCCACGTTTTGGTTTGGCCGCCCCTAGCTTTCTTCCAACCATCTCCAATACCGGATAGCATTGCACGTCGTGGTAGTCGGTGTTCAGGCATACGTAACACGTGGCCCAACCATCTCAGTCGATGAAGATTCATAACCTCATCAACTGATTTACCATCATTCCCTAATACCCTGCGTCTAACCTCACTATTACTTACGCGGTGATCCCAGCAGACGCCAGCAATATTTCTAAGGCATCTGTGGTCAAATACTAATAGCTTACGAGTGTCTTCTACTCTTAATGGCCATGTTTCGCTGCCTTAAATTAAAACAGAACGGACTGCCGCGCAGTATACTCGTCCTTTTATTGATAGACGGATATCTCGCCTTCGCCATAGGTGGCGCAAGTTGGCAAAGGCCAATCGAGCTTTTCGAATCTGTGCTGAGATTTCGTCCGATACCAACCCATTAGGGCTGATCAGACTTCCAAGATAAGTGAAGTTGTCAACGCGTTCGACTACTTCACTCCCTATCCTTAGTTCAGGTGTTGACGCAGACCAGTCCTGAAGCAACAACTTGCATTTAGAGGGAGAGAAGCGCATCCCAAACATTCTGGCATTGTTGCTCAGTGCTACCAGAAGACTCTGCATTTTGTCAGCGTCTTCACCAAACAGGACTATGTCATCTGCGTATTCTAAGTCGATAAGTGGACCTCCTGGAAGGAGATCAATACTCGAGAATTCAGTAGACGAGAAAGTTATTTCCATCAGTAGAGCTATGATGAAGTTAAACAAGAATGGGGAAAGTGGACAGCCTTGACGGACACCACTTGAGGTTGCAAAAGTAGATGACAGTTCGCCATAAGCTCTGACTCGACTAGTAGTGTTCGAGTAAAGAGCCTTCACAAGGTTTATGTACTTCTGGGGTACGCCTTTCAATGACAGACACTGCCACAGAATCTCGCGGTCTACCGAGTCAAATGCTGCTTTTAAGTCGAGAAAGACCACCATTGTCGGACGCCGATAAGTATGCCTGTGTTCTAGAACCTGACGAATGGTGAATATGTGATCGATGCAGCCACGACCAGGTCTGAAGCCAGCTTGAGTCTCTCGTGTTTGCAGTTCACGAGTCTTAGTTAGGCGTCTGATAATTATCGAGGCTAGTATTTTAGATATTATATTAGTTAGACTAATCCCTCTGTGGTTGTCACAGGATGATTTTGACCCTTTCTTATATATTGGGACGATAAGTGATTGTGACCAGTCAGATGGAATAACGTCTAACTCCCAGATTTTAGCTAAAATATTAGTCAACCTAATCGCTAAAATTGGACCATCATCCTTAAAGACCTCTGGAGCCAATCCATCTGGACCAGCTGCCCTTCCTCGTTTTAGATTAACTATAGCCTTTTGAGCTTCAGCAAGAGTTGGGGGACCTACTTCAATGTTCCATTCACACTGTCTGGGAATGGAGGGTAGTTGTAGAGTAGCTGAAGACCAGCTGAACTGTTCTCTGAAATGTTCGCCCATCGTTCTAAACGTCTGGACTGGGAGCAGATGAGTGTATCGTCTTTTTCCGATATAATCTCACTTACACTTGACTTATTAATTCCAGTTTCTTTTATTAGTCTGTAAAGCTGTCTTGTGTTCCCTATAGTCGCCGCCTTTTCCATCTCTTTTGCTTTCGTTGCCCACCACTGCTCACGGTCGTTTCTTAGACTTTTTCTTAACCTAGATCTGATTCGTTGTCGCTCTTCATCATGTTCGGAACCTGATGGGATGAGTTTGCGAGAATCCATCAGTGTGATAGACTTTGAAGAAATCCACTGGTTCTTTGAAACTCTGTGGTTTAAATCACTGATAGATGTCACTGCTGTTACCACAGCTGTTTGTCTGGCTTTCCAAGCAACATCTGGGTCAGCCTCGTCTTCAGAACTACCTAATCGTGACCTCAGTTGTTCCTGGAACCTACTTTTGGTTTCCTCGCTACTCAGTTCGGTTCTAATGGGTCTTTTTACTGTGGCATTTTTGCGTCCAGTGAGGCGCAAGCAGATGCGTGCCCGTATTAGGGCGTGGTCGGAGTCCAAGCAGGTGCTCCAGAATGAGCGACAATCTTGTACCGACCCTCTCCAACGATGGCTGATGGCAATATGATCTATTTGAGTCCATCGTTGATTTGGTGTAGGGGGTCGCCATGTTAGACGATGTCTCTCCTTATGCTTAAAATTTGTGTTTGCTAAAAATAAGCGATTGTCTGAGCACAGTTGCAGCAGACGGTCACCATTATCTGTTCGCTGTGCCGGAATACTAAAATATCCACCTAAATGCCTTTTTGTTTGGTTTAAGCTACCTATCTGAGCATTAAAATCACCTGCTACGAGTACTATGTCTGAGCGTTTAGCTTTCTGAAGAAGTTCGGACAGCTTTCTGTAAAATTCATGTTTCACTTCATCTGAGCTGCAGTCAGTGGGAGCGTAGGCAGAAACGACGAAAAGGCATCGACGTGTGTCCCTATCCTTCCGAGCTTTTACGGAGCCGTTTAGCCGAACAGCACATAGACGACTGTTGACGGGGATCCACTCTAGCAGTGCTTGTTCCGCCCTCATGCTTAGTGCTATGCCTACACCTGCCAGTCCACGAGAACTGGCCATCGGGTCACCAGATACACGGAGGGTGTATCTCGTTGGCTCTCCGTTCTGCCGAGGTGAGGTCAAGTGAATGACCACACTGGGATCCTGTATGCGTGTTTCGGAGACACAGCATACATCAATGGAAAGAGACTCTAGGGTTTTAGCCAAGAAAGCCTGCTGACCGATTTGACATAGAGTGCGTACGTTGAAGGCTCCAATGTGTAGTTTGGAGCGAGGTTTCAGTAGACCCGGGGCAGTGTTTTGAGCACTAGAATCGTTGGCTTTGGTGACACTTGAGGAGGAAGCCGAAATAGGAAATTTAGAGTTGAAAGTCGATGTAGGAGGAATAATAGGAATTGAAGAGGAAGGTTGATTATGAATACAGTGATCTTGAGTGCTGTTAGAGGTATGAGGGCGGTTATCACTTCCCAGTTGCCCACACCGTGGAAGGGTTGTTCTGGAGGTACCTGAAAAGGAAATTGGATTAGAGGTGGTCTTAGTGACCTGGGAGCGTGACCGCAGTGCCCAAAGGACAACTGCTTGAGGTCAGTCACACACGACCTTTTTATGGGTGATTTTTGTGTTAGCTCCGTACTTGTTGAGACCTTACCGCCGGAGACGGATATCCGTGGGATAAGGTGGTGTGCATTTTTAGAGTCAACCTTTTCTAACCCCAACCTTCCTTGTGAGAAGGCAGCATCGGTATCATGCTGGTTGTCTGAAGGAAACACCTTACTGCTGTCACACCTCTGTACAGTCAGCAGTACGACTTCGCCTTCGGACCTTGGGTTTGTTGCTTTTAGTCTAACCGCTCTTCAATCGACCTGTCTGACATGGTAGGACCTTGAGGAACGGTTGTTCCAGCCAGTATAGCTCGATTGCTTCATCACGATAGGCAAGCCCGACCACCACGTCAAGGTAGCAACAACGGTCGGGTAAGTGTAAATTCTTACTATATACTGATGTTAATCAAAAAGTGTGTAAAAAAGAAAATGTAGAACAATAGCCTAACATTAAATGATGGGATGCCAGAACCAATAGTGATTCAATACTCGTAAACGTCAGTATCACATAGCAGCGGACAAGTGATGGACGAATCCATAGTAGCATGATTTTCTCGACAAATAACTGTCAAGAAACTAAAATAAACTTAGATAGTATTTACAGAAAAAGGAAATAGTGAAAAGAGGAATTTAATACAAAGCAGATATTCATATATAAAGTTCAAAAAGTTGATTACGTAATACCATTAGGGGAGAACGGATATAGTGCAAAAACAACAGATAAAATATGAAATAATTTTTATCACTGAAAATCTTAATTGGCAACTTAACAACACTGATCATAATTGAGGGAGAAATAGTAGCCAATCCCATTATGACTTAACCTTGGGGTTGATCCTGTTTTATCGATCAAATTATGTTACTATTAGTCATCATTGCGTCAATTATGTGCATGCTAAAAAGACACGCATATCAGTTGAACCAGACTGCCAGGAGAAATGTTGGAATTACTTCCTTTTAACTTTTACCTCACATTTTTGCATATATCCAGATTTAACTGTTTATGAATCGATTACATCAAGCCCTGTATTAGAGGCAACTGGAAAGGTGCTTTATTTTATTTTCAGAAGTATTCGAAAAGAATGAATAGCAAGAGACCATAAGGAGGGATACTTTATCAAGAACCAGAGAAAGATCTTAGTGAGTACAAAAGAGGCATTACACCGTTGTCAAAAGTGTTAGTGAACGGGATGAAAGAGCCAATAGACGATCAACTTGAAAACCAACTGTTATGACTTTAAATTTATGTCAATTTCTACCCTGTGTTATCGATCGATTACAATGACACGCAAACACGTACGGACGGCCTAGAGTCTCGATTTGTCTCACTTCCCTGTATAGCCCAGTTAGTTGAGTCCAGAAGACAAGCTACAGCCTCGGAGATATGAATCACTATATTTCAAACATACTTTGTTTATATACCAGTCAAGCATACCACAGCGTACCATAAAAATAAAAAACAACATTTTGTACAAGTGAACAGATATCGACCAATAGGAAAACCCATTTAAAGTCTGGATTTCGTAGGAATCGATTATGAATCAACCGAATCACGACACTGTACATCATTATTGAATAATCAATTGAAAAAGGAACTTATCACTAAATATCGACTTCTTTGGTTTTAAGTAATTGACAACGTGAATGGGGGGACCTTATGGAATCTTTAAACAAGGGGGTACCTGGGAGGACCGTCACCATTATACGGAACTCCTACGAAAAGCTGAATTGCAAAGTTCTGCAAGAAGAGCAGCTCACAAATACATTAAATGTGAAAACCGATGTAAAGCAAAACTGCCCACTCTAGCCTTCCTTATTTTGACAGTTATCGATTGAATTATGACGAACTTCATATCTCAGAAAATGCATGGAATATGGTAGACACATTGGATAAAGCCGGATGATTTGTACTTCGCAGATAACTAAGTCTATCTATTTTGTATACAGCAACAAATGTAGATGAAGACAGTAAGTGTAACAGCGGCTATAACAGTAGTGGGCCTTAACACTAAGAAGGAGCAAAACCCAGGGAGGAGTAGCAACCGAATCACTGGTGATAGCGAAGCTGTGGAATAGGTGGGAACCTTTACATACCTGCGGAGCATTATTGATAAAGGAGGATCTGATGCAGATATAAAGGCACACATTGGAAAAGTAAGGGTGACATCCCCACAACTGAAGAATATCTGAAACCCAAAAAGACTCCCAAACAAGATGAAAGTCAGAAACTCTTCTATTGTATATAGATTAAACTCAGAGACCTACCACCACTGTCGCCAAAAAAGTACAGATATTTATTAACAGCTATGTATGCAAGATACTCCATATTCATTGGTCAGAGGTTATCAGTAATAATCTATTTTGTCATTTGAGGAGATTAGAAAAAGACACTAAGAGTAGATAAGACAGCTTAAAAAACCCCACAAAACTGGATCATACGGCAAACCCCAACTTGGAATCCTTAAAGCATAAGTAAAAGAGGTGAACCAAAGAACACAGCACCGGGGATGGGATGAAGGTAACAAAAGGACGAACAGTACTTGGTAAAAACTGGAAAGAAGAGCTTAGGATAGAGTTGTTTGGAGATCATTGGTCGGCGCCCAGTACCTCGAGAGATGTAACAGGCTCAAGTAAGTAAGTAGTAAACAAAATGAGTTATTTAGTTATAGTTATTTTCATAGCTCCGTAAAACTATTCGACTTTCTGCAAAATATATTTATCTAACCTCACATTTCTTAACATTTTGACTTTTTTAAACACACATTAGACTGTTGAATGTTAGTTAATACAACAGAAATTAGTTTTGAATAGATCTATAAGTATAGATTAATTGCTATTTAAAAAGCATTTTAATGATCAACTGAAAATTATAACAATCTGCAAGTTCATTCATAAAACATGTTCGTTATTTAATTTATGTGAACCATTCTTGAAAAGCTTACTCAAATCTCAGTTGAATACTGATTCATTTAGAAGTCTATAATACTAGCAAAATCGAGTCAATTTTATACCCGTATATTAAAAAAGAATAAATATCAATAACGAAAAATTCGAAGTTAGTTTGGGAAAATATCAGGGTCATTTTAATCAATTAAAGTGGGTCATTAGATTATAAGACGTATTTATTATGGAAGAGATAATGTTACTAGTCAATTATACAAATTGAAGTTCAACATTTTATAATGGTAGTAATCCAAATACCTTACAATTTAATGTCTGAAACTAAAATCCAAATGATTTAACTCATAAGTCACTTTAAATGATTTACAGACCAATTGATGAAAGAATATATTATCTAGATAAAAAAAATATTAGATGAATAAAACTCTATAATAGTAGAATAGTGTATATTCATTTATTTTATACAGTCTCTTCAATGTTTACAATTTAAGAATAATTGTATTAATACACTTGGTATTGTTTTACTTGAATCTTCCGATTGATGTTTTAGGACTGAAATCGACCAGTCTCTTATTGGCATATGTGCATACTGTGCGTATGCCTCGATATTGCCTTAATTTACAAGCATTATAAGCAAGTGGCTATCAGGACTCAGTAGCTAAGTGGATAACACGTGATGGCATTTGAGGCGAACGGTACTGAGTTCGAGTCCAAGAGTGAACATCAACTCTGAGATGCAGGTACATCCAGCTGACGAGTCCCAAACAGGACGAAAAGTGAGTCCTGGATTCCAATTGTATTAATAATTTCAAAAACAATGTACATACTTGATATCATTTTATAACAGGAAAGCTTTTACCAATGAAAAAAAGTAATAAATAGAGAGAAATAAATTCTTCTTTATTCTTGTATTTTATCTTAACCTGTTTTATTCACTTTTAATCAATTCATGTTTTTTTAATTGTTATTATTGTGTAACTTTTGACATTGATTTTACATTTCTAGAGGCCTATTTTCAGGTGTATTTCAGTTGTGTTTTTTTTTGAGAATACTAACATGTAAATAAGCAACTATAAGAATATCTCTTGTAGCTTTTCTAGATTAATTAATTCTTTTTTTACCTCATGTTCGTTGACAAAGACTGTTTTTATGGTAAAAAAGTATGTATATCTTTTTTTAAAAATAATTGCTAAAATTTTTAGGTTATAGGAAGCTCAGATATCTGTAAAATTAATGAATCCATACTAATTTATCTCAATCACTGTCATTATTTTATTCACATATAAAAAGAAACTTACTATAACTTTCTCCTTTCAGTATTTCAGGAGCTATATAATTCGGTGTACCACAAAATGTAGTTGTAGTCATATCTCCGATGATTCCTTCCTATTAAATAAATAATAATTTAGATACGATTAATAATATATTATTTATTAAGTTGGATTGTCTTGTTTTATATCTTAAATAGTGTATTATATGCTTAAAACAAGCGAGAAGAATTTGTAGTGTACAATCAATGTTAATAATACTAGCTACTATCACTTAGTCTTCAGGCAAATACTTTAACTAAGTAGTAGAATAAAATACTTATTTTGACACAGCGTTTTATTAGAGTTGAGAATAATAATTCAAAATGAGTTTGTAAAGTACTGATCGTCGTCTATGTCATAACTTCCAAAATATGATTTTAAAAGTGAATAAATTGTCACGAAGTGATATGCTCATGAGTATATGTCTTTAGAATTCTTACTAGCTGAGAATCTAATTAAAGAATTAATTGAATATATTTCTATTCATTTGATTTACGCTAGTTATATCATGGAAATACGTAACAAACTTAATGATGCTAACTGATCATATGAAATAAATTTAATAAAAACATTCAATTTATCTAAACTTCTAGATTACCTATTTTCCAACTTTTTAAATAATATAAGGAATCTGTTCCGCTTTTAATTTGATTGGAATGACTAACCATGGATGTGTGGCCTAGTCAAGAAATGGGATTAGTCTATGGATTCATTGTGAATTGAACTCAGACATTTAGATACGTGCAAACAACCTAATTGACGTCCCCATGATTATCAAAACCAATGGATGGAGACAATAAGTGATATGGCTCAGAATCGATTGTAATTATGGTGTTTTCACTATTCGTCTTCCCTTAAATCTTAAGTTTCTAAATTCTCCGTGAACGTCTTTTCGACTACTAATAAAAATGTTACTACCTTCACCATTTTGAGACTTTCTTTGACAGTTTCATCTAATTGTGTTATTAGGGTATGGCATCTTTGAACCAATGTACAGATGTCCAAGGTTCTATGTTGTGTATGACTGACTGAATATCAACACTGATACAGTAATGAAGGAAATAACTACACGTATAATAGCTTAAGGAAAGTTTTACTGTTTCATGAAAAAATTAAGTCGGTAGCAACTATTACTTCAAAAAGGTTACGCGGAATACAATGTCACTTAGTTTTTCTAATCGTAACGCGCTAAACATATATTTATTCATATTGAATGACCTGAATGATATCGACCGTGATAAAAAGCAGCGAAACATTATCTTTCGAACATACTGTAATAGACAACGATCAAGATTAGTCAGTATAGCTACGTATTGTTAATCGAAAAGTCAAGTTAAAATCATACATAAACATTAAACGAGAAAAGTTAATATTTTCCCTTACTTTACACATTCCATAATCAGTCAGTTTAATATGACCTTCGCTATCCATCAAAACATTGTCTAACTTGAGATCTCGGTAAATAATACCACGTTCATGGAGAAAATTTAATGCAATGCAAATTTCAGCTGCATAGAATCGTGCGTAATCTTCTGCTAAACGAAGATTACGTTGCATATAAAACATTAGGTCTCCACCATTAACAAATTCAATGACAAAGAATAACCTATTGTTTATAAGTTAGTTTTGAAAAAAAAGAATAGAAAGAATGAAGTATAACACAAAATCTGGATCACTGATTAACTAATCATACTAAAAACAATTACCATTATCTATGAGAATAACAAAACTCCACCTGAAACCCTCCTAGGGTTCATGCCAGTTCCAAAGCCTAGGTAAAGAGGATTGAGCATGGAATTAACAACCCCTTGCAAAAAAACACTAACCAGGGAAAACAACAAGGCAATTAAGTATGGGTAAATTATAAAAACGTTTACTATTGAAATAACCGATAGATGGTTCGATTTTTCTATAAATGTCATGTCTAAAACTACGAGCCATAATTATATACGTAATTGTACATAGGGTCAGCATAAGTTTTTATTTAACAGGATTTTCGTTTAGAAGCCTACAACACTCATTGAACAAGGTTAGTTTGGCATATCATTTATGCTTTTGGGATTTTCCAGAAATTTATACATAAAACAAATAAATTTTTGGATGAACTAAACACAGAGTAAAAATAACCAATAGTGTTAACACATACAGGAAGAGGAGATATGGATAATAATCTAAATAAATATCAACAATTAATGTTGTGATGATATATTTTTTTACTTCAACATGCATTATTCCAAACAACATTTATTTATGATAAATAAGAACCTTCGTCTAAATTTGAACGAATAGTTTCACAATATTTGGGCGCCGAGTTAATGTGAGTCTTTATTTATTTATGATTATCAAAGACTGGAGATTTTTAGGTTTGGTTTTATTTGCTTATGAGTAGATGTTATTTTTGACAGTTGTTGATTTGAACCAGAAAAATCACTTTTCAAATATCTGAGATAATTCTACTCTAGATATTTGAACTCATATTACTTAACCACAACACAGTTACAGATATTAACATAGAATTATTTGAATGGAAACTGAATGCCCTAGGACTTAACCCAGTGAACTGACTAGTTACCGTTCTGGTTTTACTACTGTCTAAATTATATTATATGAAGTCGATGTATATCAGTTCACTTGTCCGACTATCTATCACTTTGTGACATCGCAATACTTTATCAATCTCGTCAGTAATTAATAGTCCTATTTGAAATGGTTGACTTTAGATGCTCGCTACCAGAACTTTCAAAAAATTTATCTCGTAGAAAGTTATTACTAAATAAGCGTGTCATCATGAAATCAGTACAAAACCACTTATTGCAAATAAGTGTTGAATTATTACCATATACAACACACGCGGCTGAAATACACGAATATGATGTGTATCGCATCAATAACTTAATAAAACCTTTCACTTTATATGATTTTAAAATATGGACTGACTTATGCGAATAGTGTAAAGGCACTTTATTAAGATTATAAATTAATATTATTTAGGATGTTAAATAACTTCTTGACATATAAAGACTTAAAATGAAATAAGCACATCACTCATTATTCGAGTAATTGGCATGTATAAAAAATGCCGTCATTATCAGCTGACTTCACTGTTGTTTACAAATATATCATGGAATAAAATAAGATCAAAAACTCAGAATAAATTCGTAAAAAGATTGATCAATATTGAGATGGTGCAAATCAATATTTGATTTATCCACATCAAATTAACCATTAAAAATAAATTAAATAACGTTTTATTACAAAATCAGTGATACTATGATATATCGCTCCGGATTTAGTCAAATTCGAAAACTAATAGCAATGTGTTTTCCAACTTATATGAGTGAACTGAACGATATTTTTAGATCCTGAGTGATAGACACGATTATAGATACAAATAATTATTTATTGACAGTTGTTACTCGGTTAAACCATCAAACAGTAATACAACTCAGTAACCAAGTACATGGTTCTCATACTCCGTCTTGAGCAACAATATCGTAACAAACGAGGTTTAAATATGCAATTGAGAATAAATGGATTTGATCATTAAGCAATGCCCCCGAATGCCCTGGTACGGCCGAGAGTGGGGTGAGTCCGCTCTCCCTCTCGAAATACTCTCACACGGCCACGCGTATACAGCCTCTGCCAGGGAAGTCCTACTCATTGCCTTCTCGTGGCGGGGGTGTTGTTTACGAAAATGAGAGGACGAAAAGCGAATGTCCGGCGCTTTAACCGGATCACAAACCAACGGTGCACATGGGCTCCAGTATCCTTCGGGAACAAATGGCCTACGAACCAATCGTTGGTCACCGGCTACCATGGGATTGCATCTCCTCACGATGCTCCACTGCCTTGTGGATCAGACCTTTGGGTTGAAGGCTCGGGGTGTGACCCCCTAAGAAAACCACCTGCCTCGGTCTGGGCACCCGGGCAGTATCACAGCCCACACACACAAATATGGTGTGGCGCATATATATTTGGTGCCCTCTTGTACCAATATTATGTGTTGAAATAAATAAATTAGCAATGATAATCATGAAAATGCTTTTTTAGTAGTCGCACTCAGAAAATCATTTCGGTGGGACTAAGTCAACTACATGGAAAATTCATGTTACCATATCCACTATAGGGGTCCATATCGCAACAAAAAAAGAGAAAAATGTAATCTTAAATACTAGCAATCGGAAAATATAGACCCTTAGAAATAATATCCTTTAGGATAGTTTTCTCCATAAAACCGTACAGCATTTAGACAATAGGGTTAATCTATGAGGTTACAAAATACGAATTTTATGGATTATATTGATTTTAGAAACTTACCGACTTCTAGTTTGGAAACACGAGTGTAAACCAACTAAAAATGGATGGTTAGTAGCGCATTCAAATACATGTTTTTCTGTTTGAACCCAATCAATATCCTAGTATTGGAAGTATGAGAAGAACGAGTTTTACATATACTGTCTAGTTTATGTGAATTAATATATTATCAGTTTCCCTAAGACGGTAGTTTTTTTTACAAAATATTCAAGTAAAAACTTAGTTACCTGGGGTTGAGTTTTGCTGTCTGATTTTAAACTGATTCATCTGTAGAACAGAGGCTACTTCAGAAGCAATGTACTCTTGCTTAGAAAAATCATAGTTCTCTGGGTTTTTTACTTCACAGGAAGTTTTTTTCACTATAATTTATTTGGACTCATAGAACTCACTTTCCAGTATCCTTCAATAAGGGGAATTTGTATCGGTGCGAGCATCAAAAAATGGAGATTTAATAGTGTAATGAAAGATTATCAACAGAAAGATTGAATAATATAATGAACATCTAAGTGTTATTTACATTTAAAAATCTTTATAACACAGTTTAATATGTTTAAATGAATGAGTTCAAATTTTATACCATACCACGTAAAGTCGTTAGTAACAGTTTGTTCACATAGTCCTCCACAGACAATTTAATCCATGTTGTTACCTCCTTTCACATTTTCGCATGCTTTTGTTGAACCAGTGGACTGAGTTTTTCGATCTCCAATCCACCTGGACTCCATTCCTTTTCTAGAACATCATTGACTATCTTGTATGTTTGGATGAGCATGTTACTCTTCTGTCACACTGTTCGTTTTAGGAAGATCTTTCATGATGGAACTGTGGACATTCAATGCTACAATTTGGAAAATTAGGTCACTAAGGCTTCCGCAAGTTGTAGGTCACCTGACCCACGTGTTTCCAAAATAATTAGTTAATACGTTAATTTCTACGTAGAATGATGACTAAAAAATGTCAAATGAGGTTACATCTATGACCGATAAAAAACTAATTTAGCCAACCGATGGAACTGTAGAGCAAACTCTTAATAGGTCATTTGGGGCTATTGAAGATGAGGATTGCTGTAGTCTCCGCCATATATATTGGCTCAGACGAAATAAGCAAACCTGTACTGAATCTGAAAATACTCGTCGAAATGCTGATAAAATCGAATGTTTGTAATGGATTAGTTTATATTAAAAAGTGTTTTGTTCAATTCTTTAAAGATATGTGATACGAATTTGTACTTTTGTCGTTCATTAGAATGCAAACCGAATAATTAATCGAACTGAATTCCATAGTATGAACTATGTAGATCTAAGTAAACAGAAGCAACGATGTTTTTAGTGTTTGATTGTCATATCAATGATGATAATCATCTAACAATTTTATACCCTGAGTAGTAGAAAACACCGGAACGCGTTTTTCAACTGGTTCACTATCATGTAGAAGTTTTTGTTTTACATAATAGCCATGTATTAATACGGTAAAGTTTATATATCCAATGAATTCCAACTTAGTAAGGGCGTCATCTTATAATCATATCGTACTCGATGAATTATCTGCTTCTTCTAAATCACAGCTGGGAGTTGAATCCATTCATCAAACCAGTAGTTATTATTTTGTGTCGTTTCTGTTGATGGTGTTCAGTCTTTCATTATGCTAATTACTACTTTTTCATTCCCTTTGGCTTTACTTAGAACACAATTGTGCCCCACTTATTGCTTAGTAATAACTCCATTTTCCGTACGACACTGTGACCTAGATTCCACCTTACGATATTCTACAGATCTCTAAATCTTGTCGTTAATTACTTGCTTTTTCTGGAGGTGTAGCTATTCATTATAAAAAAATCAGTGGTGTTGTTATATTTTTACGTACTCTAATTCCATTCCAATGAGGCATAAAAAATATAACTTGAAATGTAGTTTATTGTCTTTAATACATTTCAAATTATTTTAAACTTCGCTCAAATGATCTATTGTAAAGTAAATATATACTAATTTGTTTTGTGTGTAGTCTTGTTTTCATCAGTATTTAGTTTAATACCTTAACGTTTTCTATCACTTGTATTTGTACTTAATTCTCTCTTAATTCATAATACAAGTCATTCTTAAAAGAACTGATAGTTATTTTTTATTAGCATCCTTTTAATCCTCACCTTTATTAGAATAAACCGTAATTCCCATTCCTTTTTGCATTTATTAGTTTCTATCAACCAAAACTTCTCCATTCGATTACCAACTGGTAGTACCAGTGATACAATACTTAAGATTACTGTTATTCAATATCTCCTGAAACCGTCGTCTGTTTGCATGCACAAAGCTTCAACAGTGATAATCGACTTCACAATGAACCTCAGACTAACAACATCAAACAGAACCTTGAATACAGAAGCGTTGCTTTAAATTACAATGACTTCTAACAGTAAACAAACAGAAGATTAACTAGAAGGACATTTTAAAATAAATAATGGGAGCTAAATGAATAGTAACCAAATGTCCATGATTTATAAGACAAAAATAAGATGGATTCGGACTATTGTGATGGTCTTTGAGTCATTTCGCTTAAGGGGTTATATAAAAGTCAACTTTTATCATCCTGAAGACCTTAATCAAGTTTATGATTCTTAATGTGACTAAGATTAACAGTTAGTGAATTAGTGCACTGAGACTTGCAGTACAATTGTAACGTAAAGCTAGTGTAAAATGTGATTGATAGACGAACCCACCAATAATAAGTGAAACGCCCACCACCACATCAACTCCTTTTGACCTTATACGACTGTATCTCTTTATTAACCAACCACAGTTTAATGTTCATTGTAAAACAATATTGGCTTGTTGACTCATTTTTCCTATTCTCTGGCTACTGTTCGGTATGTTATTTGTCTGTTTTTCCCTGTATTAATAGACCGTACTGTTTGTTTGTACACTAACGATGTTAATTTATGTTTTAGAAACAGATCAAGTTTATCTAGCCAAATAGCTTGCTTGTTCTGACTTTGGCTAAACCAAGACTCTGTATTCGACAGTCTAGAGATTAGCTTAGAGTTGAATCTGTGGGAAATTGCTTCCTACAAAGTTTCGAACAGTACATTCGATATACCTACTGAAATGACTTCCAATAAACACTACGATTCCGATGAGATTCCAGAATTATCACTACATCACTCGGGAGTTTATGACGAGGATCAACTTGGAAAGAACGAACTCAAAAACAACAGCATGATAGAACTAGAGTTAGCTAGGTTGCGCATAACCCAGTTAGAAAAGGAAATTGAACTAGAAAAATTACGCTGCCGGAGATGTGAAGGTTCAGGCCAATCAGTAATCAACAGTGAGAATACAATATTAAAAAATCTGTATTTACCAAAAAGAGAAGTCGTAAGGTTTGATGGTACACCGACAAATTATTGGAACTTCATTAGAAATTTCGAAGAATGCATTGGGAGTGAGAATATTGGATTTAGAGCTAAGCTAAATTACTTGATTCAATATTGTGACGGAGAAGCGAAAGCCGCTATCCTCCATTGTACTATACTAGAACCAGAGATAGGTTACCATCAAGCCCTAAAGCTTTTAGAGGAAACGTTTGGCCAAAAACACGTCGTAGCACGCACGTTTATCGATAACTTGTTAAACTTTCCCAATATAAGGAGAAATCAACCAGATGGTTTGAGAAGACTATCTAGAGAAATGCAAGCATGTAGTTTGACTCTCGAACAGATGAATTACGTTTCTGATTTGAACTCTTCTAGAACTATTGAAACTGCGGTTCTGAAATTACCAACCCACATTCAACAAGAGTGGCTAAAGGTAGCTTATAAGATTATCAGAGCAGGCAGAGAGCCTCTGTTCACTGATCTCGTTGAGTTTGTAAAGGAGCAAGCTGATATAGCTAATACTAGATACGGCCTACTCGTCAACCGCGGTAGTAATTGTGACAATAGAGATGTTGGTGTTTTAAAAAGGAAAATTAGTACAGATTACAATGCAGCAAGAATATCTTATGCGAGTGCTAGTGATGATAATGCTCTCTTACGCAGTTCATCTTGTTTGGAGTGCTCCAGTAATCATTCTTTAGACCAATGTCAGGAATTTAAAGACAAGAATGTTAGAGAAAGGAAGGAATTCGTTCTTAGACACAAGTTGTGTAATGTATGCCTGAAGGCAAACCACGTAGCAAAAAACTGTCGATCGCCGAGGTCGTGTGCTGTCGAAGAGTGTGGCTGGAGACACCATACCCTGTTACACAAGTTGCGGGAAGAACCAAGGAATACTAATATTGATGCACACATTAACACCCAGCTATGTACGGAGAAAAGTGTTGAGCGTGTACAGAAACAAGCAGCATTCGCAATAGTGCCTGTACTGGTAAGAAATGGAGAAAGGGTAGCACAGACTTGCGCCGTCTTAGATAGTGGGTCGGATGCCTCGCTTATTACAGAAGATCTAGCTAAAAGGTTGAATTTAGAAGGAGAGCCTAAGACGATTTCGTTGAAAACGTTGGATAACCATTCCACAATTCAGTGTAAAGAGGTTCAACTAGAGGTTTCCTCCTTAGACTCGTCTTCGGCATTTAGAATCCAAAACGTATGGACAGTCGAGAGATTACCTATGTTGCGCAGGACGGTACCAACGACGTCTCAAATGAAATCCTGGACGCATTTAAAAGACATAAGTTTTCCTAGAGTAGAGGATGAGAATGTCGAACTGTTGATCGGATGCAACGCACCGAGTGTACACGAAATGAAAGAGGTAAGAACTGGAAAACAGAATGAACCATTCGCCGTGAAGACTCTGTTAGGTTGGACGCTGTTCGGTTCCTATGGGGAACCCTGTAAAAGCAATCGTGTACTCAATCACCTCTCAGCTAAAGAGGAATTAGAGGATAAGTTTGAACAATCGTATTCAACTGAATTCAAAGACCTACTTAGTCGTACTTCATCGATGTCTGTGGAAGATCGTATAGCATCATCAGAATCTGCATATGGTGTTGCGGAGTATACTCGTTCAGAAGATGTCTCTCGTCAAGTTCATTGTTCGCTTTTATTAACTAAGTATAAGGTTGTTAAGCCAAAAACTGAAGCATCATCTGCTAATAAATCCAAATCAAC